CTTGCCTCTCTTACTCTTCTTATCTTTGAAGGGAGAGCTTTCTCTAAGTCTTAGCTGCTACTTCCAGCTCTTGCCTGAGGTTGACCTGAGCTACTGTAATGTCGCTTGTTCCACTTGCCATGGGCAGATGGTCACCTAGGCACCCACAGTGACATAGTACCGTCGTGGACCCTCAGCTCCTCTAAGATCATCTACTGTTTCTGCCACTCCTGGTTGGAATTTTCTCTCTTCCAGTAGTTCTACCATTTTCATTCTACAGAAAGAAAGTTCTGCAGTAGAAAGACTTGGAGTCTTGGTAAAAAAAAAAACAAAAAAACCGATTATTTGGAGTTGTTTGGGTTGGGTTTGTTTTGAACCAGGCAGTTCTTTACTCCTGGACTCAGGGAGCTGGGCTGGGTTCAAGTACACTCACCAACTTTATGAAAAATTAGTGTCTACTTCCCCCACAGGGCCTGTGATGACTGCAGCCCATCCTGCCTGAATTATAGATTTAAGGTGATTTTCTTTCAGAGACCTTGTCCCTCTCCATATTCTGGCTTTTCACATGATCATTTCACCCCTACCCCATCTGAAATGTCTTTAATGATAAGTTATAGAAGGGGCTGAACTCTTTCCTGCAGGGCTCATGTGTTACATGCAAATCAGTGATGTCCCATCCCGTGGTGAAAGAAGATCTACACCTGTATCATGGACCCAGGTGCAGGTGCTGTTCCAACGAAGATTAAAGACAGTGTGTGTAAAGTACCTAGCAACTTTCCAAGTAAGAGGCAGCATAATCTCCTAGAAGGTACATGAACTGGTCTTTTATTATGCTATTATACGTCATTTTGATCATAGTCTAGATTAGTAATTCAAGGTCATGGCTACAGCAATTCTCTTTCTCCGACAACATCGAGTTTTCTCTCTATAGGACTGATTCCACTAGCAATGCTAGGCAAGAGCTTCACCACTGAGCTCCGTCCCCAGCCCCTAAACCTTAGAGTCACTGTTGATTTTTCAACCAACCGTCAGATTCCTATGTGCTATTCTCTCAGGAAAATCTAGGATCTGACGATTGCTTACCACCTCTACCACTACCTCTCTGACTCATCACTTCACACTTGGATTATTCCAATAATGCCCTAAATGATCTTCTTGCGTGTGAAACTAGGACAACAAAAAATTTTAGCAAAATAGGTTTTTTATTTGAGCATGATGGTGCATGGTGCACGTCTGTAATCCCAGGTACTTGGGAGGATGAGGCAGGAGGATCACAAGTTTGAGGCGAGCCTGGGCAATTTAGCAAGATCCTGTCTCAAAATAAAGTTTTTAAAAGTCTGGGGGTGTAGCTCAGCACTAGAGTGCTTGCCTAGCATGTGAGGCCCTGGGTTCAATGTCCAATAGTGAAGACCAAAAAAATAGTTTCTTGATAATAATTATCACCCATTTTACCAATGCACAGCTACACCTTCATGCTAAAAATATGAAGCATTGTAGATCTGCAGCCTTAAAAACTCCCCAACTGCGGGGGGTGGGGGGGGCAGCACGCTCCTGCAGTCCCAACACTTAGGAGGCTGAGGCTGGAGGATCACTTGATCCCAGGAGTTCCAACCTAGACAACATAATGAGGCTTTAAAAAAATTCCTGGACAATTCACTCTCATGACTTCACCTGCTTAATAAGAAACAAGTATAGGTTCTAAAAGAGTCTGGTAGCAACTGTTGGACATTGCTTTAAGTTGTTAAGAGTTTGGAAAACACACCTATGAATTCTTTGAGGTTAGATTCTATTCTAATATAAACCAAATTCTACTCTAATATAAAATCCAAGACTAGTCCCTTGTAGGGAAACGGTATTGTAGTTCTGGTATCTTGTTACATTGGACATAGATCCTACAATAGGACATCACTTGATCCGGGAAATCTTTCTGTTTCCAGACACAGTGTTTACTGTCATGAGATTGAGGATGCACACAACAAATAATGTCACTATTTTCATTAATGGATAGTGACCCAAGGGGAAAAAGAGCAACAATGCATACACACATACAATTGCACACATGCACTTACATGAAAGAAATGCAGGTATGTACAGGAATCTAGCTATTATTAACAGTTGGGAACTACTTCCTCTTGGGAAAGGCTGTGCTTTCCTTTCCTTATTGTTTGTAGTACTGGAAGTTGAATCCAGGGCCTTACCACTGGGTTACATTCCCAGTCTTTTTTTTTCATTTTTTATTTTGAGACAAGGTCTCAATAATTCCCTAAATTGCTTTAGCTGAGCTCAAACTTTCAATCCTCCTGCCTCAGCCTCCCAGAGCGCTAGGATTACAGGTGTGCACTACCATGCTAGGCTTATACTTTTTCTTTCAAAAACTGTCTCATCTCGGGCTGGGGATTTAGCTCAGTGGGTCCACTGCCTGCCTCGAAAGCACAAGGACCTGAGTTCAATCCCGGGTACAAAACAAAACAAAACAAAATAAAATGGTCTCATCTCATCTCTTCTCTTTTCCTTCCTTCCTTCCCTCCCTTCCTTCCCTCTTTCCTTCCTTTCTCTCTCTTTCTTCTGGTACTGGGGACTGAGCCCAGGGCCTTGTGCATGCCAGGCAAGCTCTCTGCCACTAAGAGACAATCCTCTGCCTTTTAAAAATTTTTATAACAGGTTCTCACTAAGTTGCCAGTCTGGCCTCAAACTCAATATCCTCCTGGCCTCAAACTCAGCCTCCTAAGTAGCTGGGATTACAGCTTCCTTCCCTCCCTCCATCTCCCTGCCTCTTTACCCACAGGCATCTTAGGCAAGACTGGATTATTACCTGTGTCCCTCAATGAACCCAGCTTTCTACTTAAGCATCTTTTCCCAGGACAGATGGTCTGCCCTGAATGCCCTGTGTCCCACTCTGTGCCTCCCTAACCATTCAAGTGCAGCTCAAACCTGCCTCCCAATGCCATGTTCACTAGCAGCCATTCCAAGAGTTCTTGTTAGGTACTAGGACACTGGTGGGTGACACAGGTCCTGCCTACTAGGATCCCGGAGTATCAGGAGTGAGAGTCCAGGGGAAATTCACCTCACCTCCTTCCCCAGAGCTGTCGGCGTACAAATTTGCATAAACACTGTTTTGGGGACAATTGGGTCTCTTTGAGTATTTACTGGACAAATAAATGGAGAAAAGATGACCTCATTTAACATACCTTCATTCACACATTCAGCAAATATTCATCAAATACCTATTAGGTGTTAGGGAAATCACAGAATTTTGAACAGTTAGGGCTGAAGGGCCGCACCTCACACAGATCGGGCGTGTACAGCTATGCATATGATTGAGAGCAGGAGCCTGGATGCTTTGAAATCCAGCTCCAGTGCACACAACTCAATCTCCAGCGCACCATCAGAGTTCAGCTGGAAACACCAATCACCCCACTGTGTTGTCACCCCACTGCACATCTGCCTTCCTGATGTGCTGTCTACACCTACTTTCTCTAGGAGCTTATTTTGTTCACTTTTTGTTTTCAGTGCAACAGTAACATTTATCGGAGGTCTCGTGTGTGCCTAAGAATGTGCCCGGGATACAGAGTTACAGAGGCAAGGCCCACATCACTCAGGAAGCTGCGCCTGTGCACACGAGGTTGTGTAACACGCGCAAGGGGTATGAACTGAACATTACAGGTGACCTTCGGAGGCGGAAAAGGAGCACTTTTCTTTGAGGAAAAGGTGTGCTTTTCTGGCTCTTTTAAGGGCAATTATCAGGATGGAGATGCAGCTCAGTGGCACGGTACTTGCCTAGCATGTGTGAGGCCCTGGCTTCCATCCCTAGGGAGGGTTGGGGTGGGTACTGTAATCACATCTTCTCCTCTAGGGAAAGCCCAAGAATGAGAAGGTGCTGTCAGCTCACATCCCAGTACAGAGGTGGGAAGCCAGAGCAGTCCGGGCCTCGGGACGGGCAACTCTGCTGGTCTGTCCCTTCCTAGGACGGGCAGAGGTCTTCTCAGAATAGATAACATCCTGCTAGTTAAGGCAGAAGTTTTCCTATTATATACCCTTTTTTCTCCCCATGCTGAGGACTGGACACAGGGCCTTCATACTGAGCTACACTCTCTATTATTTTTTCATTTTCAGGCAGGGTCTCCCTAAGACACTAAGTTGCCTAAGCAGGGTTTGAACTTGAGTCCTTCTGCTTCAGCCTCCCAGAATGCTGGGATTTATCCTCTTATTTTAGTTTATCCAAAGCTCACCGCTTCCCATTCAGGTCCTCATCTAGAAATGACTCCAGACTTAATCCATGGGAAAAATATCGGCAGAGGGGCCTGGAGAAAATGGAGATGCAGGGATAAGAGCAAACCTGGGACAATTCTCTCATGCTTGATCGAGTCACTTCTCCCTTGTCATCCGGTCGGTCACACAGGACAGAGCACTGCAGCCCTAACTGAGACAGACCTAACCCACCTGTATTGATCCCTTGCCACACTCTGGGATTTGGGTTGCATTGGCACAGGAATTTGGAGAAGAAGCCTCTTTCCTTAGAGGAAATCATGCTCTATAGGGTTAACTAATGCGCACTGAAGAAGCGACCATTTCGCGGCTTCATGGAGAACGCTGCTTTCAGTAGACACATGTGAGGTGTAACACAATCCTGCTGCCTTTCTCACAGTTGGAGGACAGATGAATGACTAATTCTTTCAATGGACCGGGAACGCCAATAGAAAACAGCTTAGAAGTTTAAATTTCCAGAATGCTGGCAAAATTGACTTAAGTTCCTGCACTAATCAAGTGCACTGGCTTTTGAAAATCCAGGTCTACTGGTGATATAGGAGAGGAGCTACTGGGAAGAAAAATAAAATATGCTGCAGCATCTCCCCTGCCCAGACCCTTCCTTACTTAACTGATGTGGACAGACCCAGTCAGCATCACCACGCAAGGCCACGAAGGAAGAACAGGGGACCAAGGCCCCAACACGTTCATTCGACAAAACAAGACTTTTTTCCAATCCCCGAAAATCCACCTTAAAGCAAAGGTGAATCAATTACCTTGAGCATGCGGATCTCTCGAAGGGCGATTTTCTTGATGACAGGGTCGTCCTCTGATTCCAGAAACTTCTTGATGGCCACGATCTGCCCCGTGTCCCTGTTTCTGCATTTGAAAACAACTCCATAGGATCCTTCTCCGATTTTCCCGATTTTTTCGTACTTCTCCATCTTCTCACAATGGATTTTCACATCGCTTTAAAATGTCGCTTAGAAGTAACGGCAGGAGGGGACAGCACTCAGCGGCCGGACACGGAGGGGCTGCTGTCAGGGACCTGGAAGAGAAGGGCACTCGTCACAGACCAGGCGTGGACCTGTTTCTCAGGCCTCCCCGCCCCGGGCCTCCTTCAGCAGCGGCCGCGGTCAGGGACGAGGTTCCCCTCTCCTCGCCTGCCTTACACCCTGCAAGCAAAATGCAACCTGGCGTCTTCAACGCGCCAGCTGCAAGCTGATCTGTCTAAGGTTAGAGTTCACCCGAGCTAAGACACACGAGCCGGCTGGGGGCCGGAAGGCCAAGGGCTTCCCCAGTTCTAATTTCGGGTCTCATTTCCTGCCCGCAAGAGGACACCTCTCGGCTCCCGCGGGGGCGGCAGGACCTCTCGGTGCAGCGGGAGCGCGCCCTGCGCCTCTTTCCCCGGGGACTCGTGGCGCCCAGCCGCCCGCAGGCTCCGCCCAGCCGCCCCGCCCACCCGTGGTCGCTATGGGAACCGGTCCCGCCCCCGGTCGCTGTGGGCGGAGCCGCCCGCTGCCAAGCTCCAGGGCAGAGGTGTACTGACCCGTGGGTCGCGGTCCCCGCACGTCCAGCTACCGGCAGAGATCCGCAAGACTGAGAAATCCAAGCTGGGTGTGGTGACGCATGCCTGCAATCCCAGCACTCTGGGAGGCTGGGGCAGAAGGATCTCGAATTCGAGCCCAGCCTGGGCAGTTCAGCAATTTAGAAAGACTGTTTCAAAATAAAAATTTTTTTAAATTTTTAAAAGGATGTAGCTCAGTGCAAAGGTCCTGAGTTCAATTCCCAGTACATTAAATGACAAAAAAGCCAACTCCTGCAGGCCATGGCGAATGCAGCTGTCCCAGCGTCTGCGGGGAAGAAGTCGGCTGGGGCAGCCCCTCCCAGGCCCTGGGATGGGGGCCCCACACCTTGCAATGACTGAGGTCATTCCTTGTGTCCCCTGCAGCCCGTCCGGCCCGAGGGCAGCTTCTATGTCTGTCCTGATCAGAGCTCCAGCCTCCTTGCGTGAGGGAGGAAGAGGGGCGAAGCGGAGGCTGGTCTAACAGGGCCCCACCTGCCCCTGGTGGGCAGAGCAGCTGGGTTAGTGTCGGGCTCCTTTCCTGCGTGTCCACCTGAGCCCTGCTGCTCAGACCTGGACACCTGGACACAATGGTGGGCGGATGATGGACCCGTCCCCGAGCCAAGCAGCCCACTAGGAAATGCGGGATGACGGGGGGTGGGGGGCTGCATGGGGCCATAAACAGGGTCGGAGGAGCAGCCTAGAGGCGGACTGCGAGCCTCCCTCCCACAGAGTTTGCATTGGCGACTACAGAGCTGTTTTCTGTTCCAAAAGCTTTGTCTTTTCCAGACTGTGGTAGAAAAAGAAGTGTATGGTACGCAGCTTTTTAAAGGATAAGTTTCACTTAACAGAATGCGTTTGAGATTCACCGTGGTACATTCATCAAGAGTGTCTTTTTACTGCCACGTAGATATTTGAAAATTCTTTGGGATTTCTATGCAGACCATCACATCATCTGCAAGTAGGGACCATGTGAGTTCTCCCTGATCAGTGTGTGGGGATCAAACTTGGGATCTTGCACTTTTGAGGCAGGCGGCGGAACCACTGAGCTAATTCCCTGGCCCATCAGTGTGCTTTTAATTTCTTTTT